ATTTGGAAACCCGGTCTTGTGCTGGTACTAGTATTCCGCGTTACTCGTGGTAGGACCTCTTGTGAGTCCGCGTATGTAGGTACCACCACTCTGACTATTTCTGCCGTGAAGCAGTAATGCGTTTCGGTTTGGAGGGTGGGGCAGCCGCTGTAACTATACTGAGACCTTAGAACTTATATCTGGATGGCGCTTTTAAGCTGTAGATGTCTATGGACTCCAGTGGGCTGTGAGTTCGACGACCCATCTAAGCAATAAAAAAAAAAAAAAAGTGACACTGTGGTTGGATAAATGGGAGTAGTCACTCTCGTCAGTCTCAATCGTCTTAGACTGCGAAAACGTGAGCTTCGTTTGGAAGTACTTAGTCTGCAACGTGCTTACGAATACTCTCAACAAGCCGTAAAGCTATTTCGATTGTGCAATCCGTTCAGGGTTGTCGAGAAGTCGAAATCAATTTTAAACACAAAACCGACCGCGAAGTCGAACAAAAGAAACAAAACCCGTCAGCTTCGGACGTCCTTCGCGAGAATTGTACAAACGATAATCGACGTAACGGCTATAATGAAACTTTAATTCGTTTCGCTATTGATTTTTAAATTATTTTAGCGCGGTCCTTAAAGGTGCTTTTCGCTTGGCTGAGACGGAAAAAAAAAACATTCGTACGGCGCGGGGTGTAAACAGAGTGACGTCATCGAGCTTCTGCGCGCGCGCGACACCGAGCGTCGGAGCACACGGACGGAATTATTTTTATTTTTAGCATTTATTCAAACTGTTTCTGATAAAATTTATTTAATTAAAATTAATTACGGTTAAAGCGATCACACAGTTTAAGCTCACGATATTTTTTTCAGTTCACGTCTTTTTTTTTAATTTAGAATCTTTATTATTACGAAATAATAAACAAACAAAAGGTTTTTTAATTTTCCTGTAAATGTGAATTCAGTCGTGATAATTATTTGTTTAAGCGCCTGACAAAAATGAACGCAAGAAAATTTACATTATTAGTAAATAGATAGGCGCCATTAACTTGATAATTAATTAATAAACATGGTAATGTGAGCGTCCATGTTTAATTAAAAACGGGTCTTTGCCAACACTTGTTTAGTTATATTAATTACTCCGAAATTTGTACGCATATATACTACTAGACATAGCTCGTTCATATCTGGAACCACTGTGTTCATTGAAAGCGCTTTTCTAGAGATATTTTGCCACGTACTTCTTCAAACGAGGCTTGCGGAGAGTACTTAACGCTATGCAGCGGCTTGGCTCTACCCCTGGCATTGCTAACGTCCATTAGCGACAGCGACCACTTACCATCAGGTGGGCTGTATGCTCGTCTGCCCACAAAGGTAAAAAAAAAACCGTACCACCCGAGTTTGGAATGAACTTCCTTACGCGGTGTTGCCTGAGCGCTATCACACGTCCATCTTCAAACGAGGCTTGAGGAGAGTCGTCTGCAGTAGGCAGCGGTTAGTATGTGCCCCAAGCATTGCCAATGTATTTGAGTGGCGGTGATGGTTCACCATCACATAGGCTGTTTCTGGTCTGCCTGTAATGGCAATAAAGATAAAATGTCATCTTATGGTATAAATTAGGATAGAATACTTTTGTAGTAAATGATGCGACAGAAAAACCAGCACCGTAACGACAAGTTCTTTTATTTGTGCGAGAAAGCAGAAAGCGAGTAGAAATGGCTGGCAAGGCTTGTTTTTTATCACTATCCTCTCTTTGTTGGCTTTGGCTGGTGGCAGTGGTGGAAGGAGGCATGTTAATACGTGTCTTGTCGGCATGGTTGGCGCCAGGGCATGGCAGCTGACCTCATGGTAAACACAATGTAGTTAGTTCCAAACGAATTGCGCTATGAAGGTCAGCATAGATGGTATTTTAATAAAACAAAGCCAAATCAAAAAGAGCTTTTACCAACAAAACTTTGATGGCATTATGCATTGGGCGTATTGTAAGTCCTATAATATATTTCTAATACGAAATATTTATTCCAGTTTATAAGATGGTACAAAAATATCTTTGTAATGTCTATCTGTCACTCTTCTTCAACCTGTGTCCCCCCAATGCTGACTGTAGGTCTCATCACATGCTCTCTATTCTTTTTGGTCTCTTGCCTTTCGCAGTCCTTACCAATAATCCATTTTGATTAGGTCGTCAGATATTGGGGCATTGTAATTTGTTTTTACTATCGCATAGATGGATGGAAGACCTCACAGCCCACCTGCTGTTAAGTGGTTACCGGAGCCCAAAGACATCTACAACGTAAATGCCGCCACCCACCTTGAGATATGGTACCCACCCGTGCCGACTCACAAGAGGTCCTACAACCTGTATTCTCCCAGTGATGGTATACGGGGTCAAGACATGTACGCTCACAAAGCAAATTATGACGAAAATACAAGTCTCGCAAAGAGCTATGGAATGGGCTATGTTAGGCATTTCTCTTCGGGATAGAGTGTGCAATACCGAAACCCGCAGAAGAATTAGTTTTAATGACATAGCCAAAGTGATTGCTCGGAGAAAGTGGAAGTGGGGCAACACGTATTCTATTCATTCTCGTTAATTCACACATCCATCGCAACATTCGCATCTCTGCTGCATGCAATCGCAAGATCGTAGGCTCCGCCAACCTAAAGTCAGAAACAAGGATAACAGTATATAATATAAAACTTTTCAGCCAGTATGAACCGTACCTAATGCTCCCTAAAAACACCAGTAGGGGTGTACATATCTATGATTGTATATAAGCGGGGGTGAATGCGGCAAACTGGTAGTCCACGGTTCGCCTCCAAGTCTGAATGTCGTTTAACAGGCACATCGATTATTTTCAACGCGAAATCGATTTTAATGTGCAGCTGTATGAACAACCCGAAATATTATTCTCTGTGAGTCGGAGTGATTGTTACCGAGGGCTGTGAAGTGAAAGTATAGTAATGACGTTATTTGCCTTACCGGCATCGAGTTATATGATACAAGAAAGATTTAAAAATATTGATTCGTCAAAGAGTATGCCTTCCTTGATATTTCGAAACCGGTGAGTTTGTTGGATCGATACATGCGCAGCTAACTTCGCTCGCTTTGTTGATTACGTCATTAGAATGGATCACGCAGTTTTTTTATTGAACGATTTATAGTTTTACTAGTGGATATTGTTTTTTTTTAAATCAAATTATAGAATTCTATTTTTATAATATTTCTGGATCTGTTTTAGCAAAATATTGTTTGAAATGGAATGTAGTCTTAGAATGACATACGTCATGCTTCCGGTGCCCATTATGGAAAACTTGTATTATACGGACATGTTGTAGTGGTTCAGAAGTATTATTATTTTTCACGTAACCAGGCTCTCTTTTAAATTACTTACGTATGCACACAGATTTAACAAGTATATGTTGCCATATTAAAAAAAATACAAAATATAATATATTTGTGATTATTTTGTGTGTGTGTTTTTTTTTGTATCGATTTAGTTTAGATGCGTTTTATTTTTTGAGACTAGTCGCATTAAAATGATTTTGTTTGTTATTAATGCATTGCTAAGCACTGGGCAGCAACTATAAAATGTGTTTAACTGTTTTCACTATCAGCAACTCAAAAGAGAGAGCCCCTCAACACCTAGTTTTCAGTAATAAACGGAACTCTTAAAAGTCACAAAGTGAATGCCAACACCTTTCATAAGATAAAAGATTTAAGTCTCAATTGTTTTATCATCATTGTTATTATTTATTTATTTTCTCTCAATCTACTAAATAGACTAGAGGGCTATTTTAGCTACACCATGACGGTTAAGTGAGCTCACGGGCCCAACCTGAGAGGATTTGCTAACATTAGTTTTAGCAAGAGTAGTACTTCGCATAATCTACCGCGGTATCAGAATTGCAACCCACTGAGAAGATTCGGAGAGAAACTCAGTGGGCTCTGTATGTGGGTTAGTTCATTCGTCGCACGCATTGTTGTAATCAACTAGGTGCCCCCTCAGGTCTAAAAGCACAGAATGGATCCGGGGGATCCGACAAGTGATGCTTCGGATAGATAATTAACGGCGGCCACCATAAGAGTATTATAGTGACACGCTGCTTTGTCGGAGTAGCGTTCTGACGCTTCTTTAAGGTGCTTACGTATCGGTTCTAAATTTTATTTAGATCGCCGTCAAGGTAAGCATTCCTCACGTACCACGGTGCTCCGACAGATATCCTGCAGAAATGGGATTGTATGATCTGGAGAGAGTTTATGTGCATACGGGCCGCGTGACTGAACGTATGCAATTTTTTAGAGTGTTACCTTGTTACAAAGGAACAATTTACTTCGCTTGCAGATCATGGGGTAGAGTCGGCTGTAGTGGAACGCGGCCCGGTCGCCTACTGATTTAATGTGAGGACCGAATGTTATCCCTCTGTCGAGGGTGGTGCCTAGGTACTTGGCCTTCGAAGTCCATGGTATGATCTTACTAAAAATTTTGATGCTGGGAATGGAGTTACCGCGCATAGTCGGTGACGAGGTACTAGCAGTAGTGTTGGGAGGGCGACCCCTTTTACAGAGAATGGTTATGCTCTTGTGAGGACGACGTTGATGCGCCACTATTGTATTGTATAAAGTCTGCTCCCTTCAAACTTGAAAGTCTCTTTTGCGATTGACTAGATAATTAACTAGTTATGTTACGTTTGCACAATTATCTTATTTATCTAATACTGAAAATAGGACAGGGTCCTTTGCCAGCCACTTTTGATTTAAATTGCGTTTTGACAAAAGATATGCAATCCATTTAACCGCTTTTGAAAGATCTGTTTTGCTTGATCGATCGCTTGCTTTTGAATGATCCTTTATATAATTAATATATATATCATAAATTGATTATTTGGCATTTACAAATTAAAAGTATGTTTTTTCAATTGTAAGCAGTTACACAATATGAAATAAATTAAAATTATTAAAATAAATCTATCATGAATTATTTTTAAACTGAGCAACACTGAAGAGCCTAATTTTGAACAAACTTGAACAAAGATTCATACGTGTTACGACTTTGTGTGCAACGCAATTCCGCTGCGGCCTAACGGTTTGCGCCGTAATTTTTCCCCCAAGTTATTTTCAAGGCTTAATTACGTCTCTCCAAGATGACGATGTTAATACAACAATTAAATTGTAGTAGTAGTATTAGTAAATACTACAATGGAAATGGTGTGGACTCCGTCGAGACCAAACAGGTCGAGAAGGTTTATTCGTAAGTACCTACCTACTATTTTTATCAATCATATATAAAGTTTGATAACCCAATTATTTTACAAAACACACAGACACAGTGTATATTAACACACAGTTTATTATTACTTATTTTGGAAATGTCTTACGTTGACGAAAATATTCTGTTGTAATACGTCATCTGAAAATACCTTCGTGTTGCAACCTTTGCAACAAAATCGGCGAAGTGAACGTCCATACATACACATTTTGATACATATTTTTTTGAATTATAGATTTAATTTTGTTACGATTTTGGGTTGTGACTTACTATGGTAACATGTCATCTAAACAAACATGGTGTCCTATTTAGGCAGAAAAAGTTTTTTTTATGTTCCTTAAATACACCATCGTTTGTAATGGTGACTGGAATTTTCCATTCGAATCGTGTTTCAAGGACATCTGTTAATTTTATTGTTTTGGTTAGCTACGTTAACCCCTATTCGATTTAAGTAGACATACCTCGCTTTCAAAACATAATGTGGGACGACTATGTAGGTACGTGATTAATCTAAAAACTGTTGATGTTTCTATAAATAGGTAGTACACGTTTTCCTTCGTACAAAATATGCTATAGGTATTACTCGCTGTTGTAATTATGATCATAAATATTAATACGTTAATTAATGGCCTTACAAATAAAAATAAAAATGGCGTAATTTTTGAATGTCATCTTCAGATTTCACATCACCGTGTTCAATGTATGAACAATTGATCTCAGAATTTTAGATTTTAGTTAAGACTAATCCCAGTGAAAAGGCATGAAAACAAAACAAATAAAAAAATACACACAGAACATCCAAAAGTGGATTACCTAATCAATTCTTGAGATAGCTATTCTAGTTTTAATAGTGACGTGTGAGTTTATAAATACCAAATACTAATTTGTAGTTTACCTATATAGTTCCAAAGTGTACTGAGTAAAATTATGGCTTACATTTGATGTTTGTTACATGTAGGAGTCACGACAGATTTTCCCTAAGATTGCTTGCTGCTCATCAATTATTACAAAAACTATATAGAAACATTTATCTTAGCAATGTAATTACTTCTCCTTTCACGGGCTTTAGAAATGTTAGCACTTTATGTGCATCTCTGGTAAACAGAGTGAGGGCCAGCTCCAACAGTATCCTGAGCATGATCGCAAGCAGGCTGGACTGTATATACATGGGTCGCTGTGGTGCCATCTCCCATGGGATGTTACCACAGTAATTCATTGTGATGTAAATATAACTACTAACATAGGTCTAAGTCTTATTAACAATTTATATGAGTCATGGATACTTGAAATAANAACAGTATCCTGAGCATGATCGCAAGCAGGCTGGACTGTATATACATGGGTCGCTGTGGTGCCATCTCCCATGGGATGTTACCACAGTAATTCATTGTGATGTAAATATAACTACTAACATAGGTCTAAGTCTTATTAACAATTTATATGAGTCATGGATACTTGAAATAAAAACATTATTATTATTATTATTATTATATGAGGGTCAGAAACGGCCAATTGATTTCCAGTGCTAATATATGAACAAGAGCAATGTGGGTAAGCCTATTAACAGGATCTGTAGTGTTTATTCTTAAAAGTGAAAATAGTAAAGATGAGTGCTGATACATTTCAGTAACGTTAATTGAATAGCACCCAACCAAGTGGTTTTACAAATATACGGACTTTCTAAAATGATTAGTCATGCTAATATTGAGATGTGATATGTATTGAGTGAGAACACACTTGGCATTCATTGCTGATATACTTGTATACTCGACTATTTGACTACTCACCATCAAACACAATTGTTTTTATCAAAAGCAATAAAATAGTTAATTATACTTATGATATGTGATGTCTTAGCCTGTGTTAAATCTATTAATATACTTTCTGAATATGCGGATGCTTATGTGGATGAAATGCGGGACAAAATGAAAATCTCATTTGACTAAAAACCCAAGCTTTTACACTTTTGCTTTGCCGTCTTTAAATAAATCACTCCTCAAGATCATGCATAAACAATGTAATTGGATTTAATACAAACCGCACTGGAATTGGTATGGTTTCTTTATGAAGAATTGCAAATCTACAGTTACATGTTTGTATTATTGGTAAGGCTTGTATATGAGTCGTCTATTATCAAAGGTGGCAATCTGTGCATTTGGACAAAAAATTTTTATTGATATGTCAATACAGATTGATTTGAATATAATCGTCTCCTTCAAAGAATACGGTTCAAAACCTGCATTAAATAAAGGTTAATAGTTAACCTGTTATTTATCTAAGATGTCGTTCCGAAGAGTTTTGTGACTGCCAATGGAATACAAAGTCAATAATTCGTTTTTCTGATTTACCAATCATTGTCCAAAAGTCAGATTGCCGGCTTTGATAATAGTCGACTCATATATACGCTTGGTCTTCTACATCTACATCAGAAGCTTCTTTCCTTTAGACGACGACTGCTTTTTATACTTTTTAATCATTTACGACTACAAATAACAAATACACCTTTAACCACAAATGCAAATGTCCCATAAACAAAGACGGCTTAGTGTGCATAAATTTGTTTGATAAAAACCTAAAGCAAAGTATCCAAATTGCCGAATGTTCAGCCAAATTGGAACTGATCCAACATCAAGAGGAAAGTTCACATTAATCTGACGTTGCAAATTGGCAGGATTATGCTTTGATACAAAATTTGTATTTGTGCTAGGCGCAGGTGTTACTCGCGTTAACTTAGTACTAAATTAGACATTGTATAGGGAGTATTAGATGGGGTTACCAGCAATTCCATAATGTTTGCCGAATTTAATATTATTATTATGTTCAACGTCTCTCATAAAATAAATTTGGGTATTTTGAATAACTGTTTCACTTAATTGCTATTACTT